GGGACATTTTTCGACTTTGACCCACGACATTGACTGAACGATCAAATAATTTTAAACGATAAGCTGAAGTCTATAACTTGTTCTTGTAAATAGCGAGTATTGTGACTTAGAATCCCAATTTGCACTCACCTCCATTTGTCTCTAGTTACCAAATATTTTATAAGCTAAACACCATGAGATGCATTGTCTTATGTAAAATCGCCTTGGTGTATCTAAATACAGGATATCCCATTATGTCTTTTATTTATACACGCCAGAAAGATATACAGAGGAAGCTATTGTTTAGGAACGAACAAGCCAATTCAAATTTAGTGAACGGGATGTCTTTGTTTCGCAATGACAGTAAAACAGGAATCGGAGATGGAGTAGACTCATACTTGAGATCCTGCCTGGAGGTACATCAGGCGCACAACCAAGAGTTTACCGATATTCATGGATCCGTATGGTGTTCAATAAGATTATCTACCACCCCGAGATGTAGTAGTCGTCTTCAGAAAACCCACTGTTGTCATCGAGTATGACAATCGTTTGCTGGAAGGATTATCCCGCTCTACTCGTCTTGCATTCACTCATATTCTGATTCTAGGAGGCTTCAATCTTCCTAAAGTCAATTTCGCGGAACATAAGTATATTAGAGGTGAAAGATCACTTCTTCAACTTCACTGAGGATCTGAGATTATTCAAAAATGTGAAGTCGGCAACTCGTTGGAGAAAAAGTCCGACACTCGCGCTTAGACTGTGTACTTACGGACGAAAAATTCCTGTTTGATAACCTCTCACTCCTCGCTCCTCTGAAGAGAAGCGATCACGCCGTCATAGCCTTCAGTTTTATAAGCAAAGGCATCCCACCAACAAGACGCGCTGGAATTTCAAACGGTTGAATGTATCATCTTCACAGGACAATCTACAACAAGTGGATTAGGAAATTCACACTCAACTTGATGTGGATGCTTATTACGATTCCTTACTGCACACGATCTTCTGTACTACAAAGCAGTCTGTTCATCAAATGGTCCCCAAAATCTACATGCAACCTACAGTCATCAAGAACCGCGCTAAGCCGTGAAAGGAACTTTTGGGAGCAATACAAACGAACTGATATCAATGGCGTGTACAAGCAATACAAGTATATAAGGAACATATTCACAAAGGCAATGGGGGAGAACAGGATTCAATACCAGATAAAGCTTATGGATAAACCTGTCCCTAATCCGAAAAGCCTATTCCGTTATGCAACCTCTCTTCGACAAGCTAAACCTGACGTTTCGCTACTGTTAGGTCCTAATGACCAGATCAATAACGACGGTGAGGCCGCTAACCTGACTGAACAGCACTCTCGGACATTCCGACCGACCCATATTAAGTATATTGATGAGAGCTTCATCTACATCTGCACAAGACTTTTAAAAGTGAACGTGAGTGCTGACTTGGTGTACCGGAACCGTAAAAAAAGAAATTCCTCTTGGTCTGGATATGGTCCATTCTCATATACTGAGGGAAGCAGCTTCAATCCTGGCAACACCGCTTAGCGTGATGTCCTCACACACGCTAAGCCGATGCAAACTACCGGAAAATTGTAAGCTGGCTCACATCACACCAATTTTCAAGGGAGGTCGATGCAGCGAATCTTCAAGGTACCGACCGATGGCTCTTCCATCCAAACCTTCAAAAATTATGGAGTCCCTGATATTCCATGATATACATGACTATTTACTATCCTTAAACTTCTTTTCACCTCAACAGCATGATTTCAGGAAAGGTCAATCACACATAACCAACTTGATGACTGCGGTGAACAGATGGAAAACCATCCTTGATCGCAAGCGGAAGGTTGGCGTCATTTACATTTATTTCTCAAAAGCTTCTGATAGGGTCAACCATATATGTCTTATCAATAGGCTCAAACGATTGGGTATCAAACCACCTCTAATTGATTGGCTCACTTCATGTTTAAAACATCGACGTTTTTAAATCAGGGTGAACTCCTCTTCTCTCGGGCTATGACATGTCCTGGTGGGGTACCCCAGGGTTCAGTACTTGGATCCTTCTCTTCCTGATTTATATAAACGATCTTCCACAACAGGTAACATCAAACTTATTAATTTTGCTGATGATGTGAAACTTTGGATAGAAATACGCAAACAAGACGATATACAGGCACTTCAGGAGGATCTGACTCGACTTCAAAGTTGGACAGATGACAATGGACGCACCTTTGACACTTCTAAGTGTAAAGTTGTCCATATGCGACATGTCGCAGACTACAGTTATAACTTAGGTACCTCCTCTCTAGTAGTATCCCAAGTCGAAAAAGATTTAGGAGTTTTGGTGCCCTACGATTTAAAGTCTTATGCTAACTGTGACAAAAATGCCTTCCGGGCAAACCTTGCACTGGTAACATTGGTAATATTTTTGGCCAGTTTGACGGTAGAACTTTCCACATAATCTTCAACAGTTTTATTCTTCCTCATTTAGAGTACAGAAGCATAGTTTTTCCTCCTTCACTCCAAAAGGCTAAGGCCACTGTGGATCGTATCCAACGGCGAGCCACGAAATCAGTTCGTCGACTCAGATTCAAACCTTATGAAGGACGCCTTTAATCACTAAACCTTTACCCATTAGAGTACATGCGTCTTAGATGTGACCTTCTAGTGGCTTACAACATCCTAAATACTTCTGGACATCCCCTTAAGCATTAATTAAACTTAGTCCAAACACAAACCCAAGGTGTAACACCCAGAAACTAGAGACACAACACAGCAGGACGGACTGCAGATACAGCTTCTACTCCTTAAGAAGTGTCAAATCATGGAATTCGCTGCCGGCCTAGCTAGTCTATGTGACTTCTCAGGAGTCCCTTAAAAGGATTCCTGACCTATTCTTATGGACTAATGGTAGTATCTTACTATAATTTACCAATTGCTTTTTCTTCTTTTATTATTTTGTATATCTAGGTTCCTGCTTGTATAAATTGGTGATCCATTGCTATTAGACAAGAAAGCCCGCTAAACGAAAATTTCTATCCCACCCACAACCATTTGAACCACGTAATAAGATACGTTAGCATGGGCCTGTAATGCAAATTTTCTCATTTCAAATGTGTGTAGAATTAAGTACTTTTTCCCCACATTATAAGTGAATAATGCATGTGATAGTATAGGTCTGTCATGCGATTCTCCACAAGCAGGTGATTTCAGTCCCTCAGTTTCACTTTATTTACTTCTTCGTTCTGATAAAGGGAGTGCGCTGTAACAGTGTTCGTAGAAAGACTGTATCTTCATGTGGATGACACAAACGAAAAACTATACACTTTAATACGGCACTGAACACAAATATGTTTGACAGTCTCACTTTCAGTTTGGAAAGGAAAGGAGGCTTGACGGCTTATGTTAGTATCGGCAATGGTGGTCTCAGTTGATCCAACTTTCTTTTGAAAAAAAATCGATGGATGGAGCCTCAATCACGTGCTGAGGTAATGAATTCTACTCGTTGATGATTCGGTAGGCAAGTCGATAATACACTGACAAGTGATTTGTCCTGGGCTTGTGAACTTTGTTGGGGCGTCCTCGTAAATTCTCTGTTTTGGAAGACATGAAAAATGAGGGCACATCAGGTGCTAATTTATCACTAAGCAATTTGAAAACTACAATCAAGTCGCCTCTATTTCTTCGACATGACAACGGGAAAAGGTTTAGCTTGGCCAGTCAAACATCATACGGGAGCTTTGCTATTCCGGGAATCAGCTTAGTTGCTATTCTCTGAACTTTTTACAGAAGCCCACTGTTTTTTTTAGTCAGGGGCTAGCCGCTTGTATGCAGTACCTACGTTTAGGACGTACGAACACTGTATAAAAGTCAAAAATCTTTCAATGTTGACATGACTAAAAGCCCTTCGTATTGACCATAGAGGTCTAAAACATTTGGCGGCAGTGGTCTTTAAGTCTTGGCTAACGATGACCCCCAAGTCAGTGTCCGGACAACAGGTAGCTCAGCGTTATTTATCGTGCATGAATCTATACTTCGATGAACGATGTGCATCACAATACACTTGAAAATATTTATTGACAACTGCCAGGTTTGAGGCCATTCAGATAATTTCCTTAAGTGCTTTTGGAGCTCTATGCTATCACCCTTACTCCGTATCGTCCTCCATATCTTGACATCGTCAGCATAGAGCAAGACCGATGATGATATTAGGCGAGGAAGGTCATTTACTTACAAGGGGAATAACTCTAGCCTCAAGACTGTACCCTGTGGCACTCCACTAAGCACAGTTTCCCAGCTGGATAACTTTGAGTTCACCCGTACTTTTTGTTGGCGCCCAACTAGGAAGTCTTTTATCCACATCAATAGATCGCCTCAAAATCCGATATTTCTTAGCTTATATAACAGCCGGTTGTGCGGAACTTTGTCAAAGGCTTTTCTGAAGTCAATGCAGGCTACGTCTACAGGTAACTTTTGGTCCTTAAGAGAGCACCAGCATTCACGAGCGACTAACTTGTTAGTGAAACAAGAATAACGTATTCTTAAACCATGTTGCTTTTCCGAAAGGATCCGGTTTTCATCGAGAAACTTAAACAAATCCTCCTGAATAATCTCTTCTACGATTTTAAAAATCACGCTTGTTAGGTTTACGGGTCGTTAATTCTCAGGTTTATGTTTCGTACCTGTTTTGAAGACAGGACTTACTATGGCGTCCTTCCATTCTTTTGGTAAATGACTCTGAGCTGCAGATAGATTGGTTCATATACTTAAAGGGTTCGCAACGAAGTTAGCTAAATCCTTTAGTAGCCTAGGATGCAATTCATAGGGTCCCGTTGACTTACCTATGTCAAGCTTATTTAGCAGACCAAAGACATCGAGTTCTTTAATGGTCACACCCTCCAGTGTTTGCGTGAGGGGATTTGTATGGACTGACGGGAAGGGTGTTTCTATGGTATATACATTGCTAAAGTAGTTTGAGAATACCATTTCTATTGAACATTGAAATAAATTAGTCACTGTCACTCAGTTTTTATTGTGAATAACCTCAAATTTAAGATAAGAGTCCTTAAAACATATTCGAATCAAAATTCTTTCAGTGATAAGTCGTTCACTTTGGGCACCTGTTTGACCAAAACTGTTAAATGTGAAGGTTGTTTAGGCTTATAATTTAACGACCTCCCGAAGTCGTTTCGGAACTCATATTATGTTTGAACTTACTAATGTTAGTCAAATGTTGTTTCTATGTATCCAGATAGCCCCTTTGTTTGCTCTTATACATTTTTACGCTTCATATGTCGAATTCTCGTTTTTACTTGTTATTCAAGGGCATATAACACTCAGGACGTGATTATCATTCTTAAAATATAACTTCAAGGTTTTTAAAGCTCACCCTCCTATTGTTCTGATCGTTGTCAACTGGTTTTATTCTGGAACCCTATCAACCAACAGAGGGGAAATGGCATTGGAAAATAAAGGGGAAACGCGTCAAAACGTCTACTTTTTCGCCTGTCCTGGGGAAATAATGCAGATTTACCCCCTTTTTGTCGCTCTGTCGCTCAAATGTCGCTGAATTGTCTACTTTTCGTCTAAATATCCTCTGAATTGTCTAATATTCACCTAAATATCCGATGAATTGTCTACTTTTCGCCTAAACGCACTCCGAATTATCTACTTTTGCTCCAACTTCTAAAACACCATTGGCATAACCCCATAGGTCTCCTATGTTCGCCTTCATCCCCACAACAAACCACACTGCAATCCACGGGTAAAATGGCATTTGTTTAGATAAATTTATTGAGAAGGAAAATCGTATTGTTGTACAACATTATAACAGAAGTTCAAGCATCAAGCGTTATACATTTTCATTGTAATTTTCGATTCATTGATATTTGAAAATATCTGCAAAAGAAGATACAGGTGATGTATTATTAAAAAGGCATGTCAGTCTTCAGTAATAAGGATAGGTCTGTCGACCTATATTAATCCTTGCAGTTTGTAATACTGTGGAGGTCCAATCTCGTTTTGAATATATTAACAGACGGTGCTGATATTACGTGTTCCGGTAGGGAATTCCAGCAATTCACTACTCGGTGCGAGAAACGGAACTCCAGACGTAAACGGTTTGATCTCGGTTTTTGAACTTTCTTCGAATGTCCTCTCAAATGATCGGTTCTAGACGGAAGCAAAAGATAAGACATGTTAATACCAAGGTCATCGTTCAGTATACGATAAGCCAATATTAGATCACCCCGTACTCTACGGTAAGATAACGGAAATAAGTTAAGGTGTCTCAGTCTGTCTTCATAAGATAGGCCAGCTAGACCTTGTACCATCTTAGTAGCTCGTCGTTGGACTCTTTCTAGCATATCTGCTTCATATTTGAAACAAGGACTCGCTGCTTGAATCCCGTATTCTAAATGTGGTCGCACATAAATCGGGTATAGTAATCCAAACATTTCATCATCTAAATACTGAAAAGACCTACGAATTGACCATAATACCCTATAGCCTTTTGCAGCAGCAGCCTTACAGTGACTAGTCGTTTTGAGATCATTGCTTAATATAACTCCTAAGTCTTTATAGTTTCTTGCTTTGGGTAGCACGAATCCACGTAGTGTATAGTCATACGATTCATCAGAGTTATTTAACTGCATCACTACACTCTTATTAGGATTTACTTCTAGTGACCACCTGTCTAACCATGCCACCAATGAGCTAAGATCGTCCTGTAATACTATTCTATCCGACATACTATGTATGGGTCTCCAAATCTTTATGTCATCAGCGAAGAGTAGAACGGATGATTTTGCTACAGTTGGCAATTCATTTACATAAAGTAAAAAGAGAAGAGGACCTAGGATTGTGCCTTGGGGAACCCCACTTTTTACAGGTACCCACGAGGAGAGAGCCCCATTAACCCTTACCCTTTGTCTCCTGTCATGGAGAAAGTTACTTATCCAATCGACGACTGTGTTATGGATTCCGAAACGTTTCAGTTTGAATTTAAGACCAGAGTGTGAAACCTTATCAAAGGCTTTACTTAGATCTATGAAAATTACATCCACAGGAGCATTCCGATCCTTTGCCGCAGCCTACTCTTCTCGTGCAATGAGAAGATTTGTCAAGCAAGATAGGCCTTTCCGAAAACCATGTTGTGCCCTGGAGAAAAGAGTTTGCCCTTCAACATAGTTTATAACAGCTATCCGAATGATTTTCTCCATCAGTTTCACAACTGCACTAGTTAAGCTAACGGGTCTATAGTTACTAACTAAATCCCTACTCCCAGCCTTATACACCGGACATATTATGGCGTCTTTCCAGTCTCTAGGATGTCTGGACTGTCCCAGAGACATGTCGAATAGTATCGCTAATGGTTCAGCAATTTCATCTGATATGGCTTTCATAATCCTAGGATGAATATCATCGGGACCACTGGACTTATCAGGTTTGAGATGCTGAAGTAGCCTTAAAACAGTATCTTTCTCAATGACTACAGGATCCATCAGCGAGCCGTCACGGTCACGATGAATCATTGGTCGTTCCTCATTACCGATAGAAAACACTTTACTAAAATATTCCGATAAAGCTTCAGCTTTTTCGGCATCATTCTCTGCTAAGATTAACGGATTGTCTCGTATCAAAAGTGATGGAATTCCATCGCTTCTCTTAGTTCGCCTTTTTATATACGAGAATAACCGTTTCGGACTATATCTGGAATCATTAACCAATTTTTTTTCGTATGAATGTCTAGTCTTGCTTATTAACGCTTTACAGGCATTCCTAATCTTACAATAACTGGATCTTTATTGTTCTAAGCCAGTAGAGATGAAAATATTCCAGTGATTCTTGCTTTTTCTAAGGAGTTTCCTGACCGTTTTAGTTATCCATGGTGGACTATTATTCGGTCTTCGCGGTACCAGGTATGGTATGAACGGGGACGTAACTAGTCTAAATTTACCTTTAAATACTGACCATGCTTCTTCAACTAATATGCTAGTATCTACTAACCAATCTGCCTTAGCAGCGCATTCCTGAATGGCTGATATGTTAGCTTTCCATACATTTGGGCGCGGTGTAACCTGATCGTATAACATGTCCCTAGTTCTAAACGCGAATGACAAAACAGCGTGATCGCTGTTTACTAACGGTGGAAGAATATTTAAGTCGACAATATCCTTAGTCTCATGAGTGATTACCAAATCCAGCAGAGAAGAACCCTGGTTAACACCAAAACGTGTGGGTTGGGATACATGCTGCACTAGTGCATGCTCCATTATTGTTATCAGTAACCTACTATCAAAGGAGTTTATAGATCCTTCTGTGGTCATATCAGTCCAATTAATATCAGGTGCATTAAAGTCCCCTATTATCAAGCATCTGGTATTTTCACTCCAAAGATGAATGTGCTCTAAAACAAAGTCATCAGCTAAGCAGATTGGGCTCCGATAAATGACACCTAGCATAAATGTACTACATCCTATAGCCAATTTACAGCTAATGACTTCACAAGTGCCGCTATCATGAGATTCGCTAGTAGAGGAGCGGATATTTATGCCATTGGCTATATATAACAGGACGCCGCCTCCTTTTCTACATCTATGTCTATCACTCCTGATGCAATGGTATCCGGATAATTCTGGAGTAATATCTAAGTCATGGACTAACCAAGTTTCTGTCACTGCTACTATGAGTGGCTTTAACCTGTCTACTAGTGCTTCTAGTTCATAGAACTTATTTCGTAAACTACGAGCGTTGGCATATAAAACTCCTAAGTAGAACAGCCTATCCACACAGGCCTTAGTAGCATTCGCTTCCAAGACCTGACTATCCGAAAACCCACTAGTCGGAGATTTTCCTCGCCGTTTTGCCGACGGGTTTCAAGTTCAGCTAGTGCTTTCTTCCTTTTTATTCTATCTTCGAGAGACATGTCAGGTCTAACGCGGATGTCAGAATTGTCGTGACAACGAGCGCTACTTAACAAGAGATCCCGTTGCTTTTCCGATCCTAGGATTACCTTAAGGAGTCTGCATGGACGGGGTTCAACATTGTCCTCGGTCCTCTTGCCTATTCTTACCAATTTTTTGACCTGAACTCCTTTGGAGTTATCTGGTAAAATACTACGAATGTATTCTCCTAGCTTTTCTAAGTCATGCGCGTGTCTAATTTTCGGATCAGGGTCGTTTGACTCCCGCAATTTGCTCACAATAATATTCGATGTTATTAGATTTTTCTTCTCAGTCACACCAGGATGGGTTTCACTCTTACCTTCAGATCTTGGTAGTGCAATTTATGGCTCACAATTTGAGTCCACCAGTGAGTTACTAACTACCTGTGTACTGCTTACAGCTTTTTTCTTTTCGTTTCGTTTCCTACGTACCGTAGTCCATTTTTCATCCCTCACAACACTGGGATTATTTGGAACGGTGACTGTTTTATCCAGATCTTCGGTTCCCATTAAAGGTGTATTTAATAGCAAGTTCACTGAAAATCAAACGCACTTTCTCAACACTTAAATAGTTCCCCATGTAGGCAAGAAAGTAAGCTCATTTACAAAATAGTGTTTATTGAAAAATAAGTAGAACATAAAAAACATTTCACGGATTACTTCCTTTAGCCACCCATGTTCGGCTATTGAGAACAAAAATAATCTTCCTGTGAAATCTGAAGTGTAAGGAACGAAAGAAATTACAACGATGTATGAATGACATGCTTTGGCACAGCCAGATACTTGAAGCTTCATTTACGGTTATGTTCGTTAACACTTGACAATAACTATATAGCAGTAGGGAAGTTATCACTTTAAACTAGTACATACCTGTTCTTGTTTCCTCCTATTACGCTTTATCAATTTGTCTCGAACGTCGTGAAAATAAACTTGTGTAGCGATATCGTACAGCTTCGCAAGGTCTTTTTCATTGACAGATGATGACAAAAAGCGATTGGTCAAAGCACCTGAAGTTTAAATAATGGATATAGGTTACTTCGTATGTAGCTATAAAACCGGCATTTCTGAAGTGCCAAGTAGCGTGAAATTACTGGCGACCTCAGGTGTCATGAGGTACGACAAAACATATCGCATTGAGGTTTTAGGATCATTATCCATTAACCTAGTTACCATAGCTATCTGTGATACGAACAAATTATAAAATTAATGTTGTTGACTTACAAATCTGTCCCTGGTTTCTTTCTGCTGCAAACCAGTGTCCAGAATCTGCAGTTCCTCTTCAGATGACAAAGGGGACTGCTGACTTGATAGTCCTCAGTCGAATGGATGCGGATGTTCGCGTTCACTGAACTTCGCTAGTAGCAGCTTTACATTTATACTCAAGTCATTTACAGTTAATGTCCTTAACCGATACCCATGTGTGTTCATGGCTAACTACGGAGCACATAAATATTCCTATATCACTGGATGGGAAAGGATCTTCAAAGTAATTGCGTGGGTCAGTGAAAGACCTAAATTTTAGTAGTCCATCCTCCCCTATATCAGTGACTAAACCAGGCCGTTCGTTTACTACTACAACATTATCAGGCTTAAATGAAGTTAGTTTACTATTCTTAAACATAACTACTTGTTTATTGCAGACCTCCTTAGCGGCTATTGGGGTAGTATTAGTTAAACGGCTAACTTGAAGCCTATCGCAGAATGACATTTTCTCAGCATAACGTTGAGCTGCTTGCTTTGTAACAGCATACCCATTATGCACAGATTTCTGTATTTGTCTCATATAAGACTCGAATGGAAAACCTGAAAAACTATCTAAAGGTCCATGTGCACGAACGTCGTCAGGAAGGTGCTTTAAGAAATGTACATTGTAAACTAAGTTTTCAGACCCACAACACCATTCGTATTCCTTAAGAAAGTTTCGCAAGTTCATTTTGACGGATTCTACAACTGTATCATGTAATTTAGGATGTGCAATCAGATAAATGGATAACGCTAAACACCGGAAATTAAGATACAGAGGTTGGGGCAATGTTTTTTGCAGAATCACTGGGCCTAAATATAGAAGGAACAATCTACATTCAGAAGTTTTCCATACCGATACGAAGTCCAGTGTACGGCATTTACGCTGAAAGTCGGAGGGAGTACTTGTCACGCAACTATATATTAAATTATTTATGTCCCTAATTGCACATGAGTTCAAGTTGAGCAATCTTCTATGTGAGAATTCTACCCAAAGATTAGCTAGCTTTTTGGTGACACCTAGGTACACCATGTGCATAGGATCTAAAGGAAAAGTTATGCTAGCATAAGTTTTACATGTGTGCTTTTCGCTCCTTTATTTGATTGCTTTCTCGGCGTTTAGATTGTTATCACCTGACTCAAATGGTTTTTATTCGCATTTTATCATTATCAATGAACATACAGGCTAAACGGAAATCTAGTGTTCGAATATTGATGACCAATACTTACTATAATGAGGTATATAATAGTTTTTGTCCTTGTAAAAGTGATAACTCAGTTTATAACCCATCATCTTTATAGTTGTGTACTTCTAAGATTGTTGAGGCCTTGTTATACTGTTTGCTTTCATAAGGACTTATCAACTTGTATTTCTTCACTGAATATAGATACATGAATACATATACCTCGTTAAGAAAAAATATATTTCCGTTTTTTATTTACCAAGTAGCGGTCCTGAAGTTTACACCTACATTAATACGACATAAATGCAGAAGCCCTTTGCTGTAACACATAGTGATCTTCAGGATATTCTGCAAGAATTTATTGATGAGCTAGTTGACTCATGTTTGATGGATGGAATTTTAACAATGCATCGTGCAATAAAATTAGGATATTTCCATATTATCGCTCCTGAACAAAATACAAACTTGTCGGATAATCCTGGCAATGGTTCTTCGAATTCAGGCTCTGGCAGAGACCCTAGCAAAACTGCTAGTTGCTGTCGATGTGGGAAGTGTAATTGTAAGGTTGCTGCTACACGTTATGCTGTCCATTTATCTAATTGTATGGGATTAGGAAGAAACAGTTCAAGAAGAGCCAACAAGTAAGTGGGACACTTCTGTATTGATGTTTTATTGAAACTTTGTCCTTGCTAAGGTTACTTTCATGGGTCAGTCATTCGTATCTTTGTTTCTGTTATGAAGTCTACCGTAATAAAGTTTATTGAGACAAACCAACAAATTATTGTTTCCCTTTCGAAATATGTCACCCAAAATATCAGTGTAATTCATTTCTTACAGTATTGCCAGGTTCTTTGTTGACAATAGATTTTAGAACCGAAACCTTGAACTGTTTAGATTGACAGATAGCATGTGCAGTCGTACCTCACACCACCGTTGCACGCTTAATAGTCCTAATTTTATTCTTAGTGTAACTTTGAATCAAAATAGAATTAGTGGCAAACTCAATGTGGATTTCCTTTACGTTTAAAATTCCAGTTATTATTTTTTATATGCATGGAATAAAGTGGTATTTGAGGATGTCGAAAGTAATATGGAGTTGGGAGAAATACTATTCTCAAGTGTGAACATATTAAGTGTAGTAGTTATATCTTTCGAAATTATCGATGGTTTACATTTGGGGTGTCACACAATATTCCGTACTGGTAAAACCTAAAGTGCGAATGCACTGACAATAATTATAGATATTTGGGGACCCGTATTTCCACTCTACCATTATAAGAAACAAAAACAGCTACTTACATTAGTCAGGGCAGTGGTGTTATATCATCAACTTGAATACAAGAGTTGATAATTAAGAAATAAAGTGTTTTTGTACTTTTAGGCGCATAGCAGAACAACAACGTTTAGAAGATGATGATACCGAGACTGAGGAGAATTTTTTGGAGTCATCTTCGGGAGACATGATCTCGTACAAGAACTCAGCAACCTCATCTGACCAACTGGAATGCAAATATTCTAACGGAACAGTTAATCATCATCGATCACCCTTAAAACTGACAATCTCTTTGGTACCGGGTTCTGGGAAGCTAGATCACTCTTCCAAACATTCAAATAGACAACTTGACCCAACGGCTGGTAATGAATACAGCTGTCTGGATGGAAATAATTCATTAAAAACTGCCCAGAGCTCACATCTTAAATCAAGCCTACCGACTGTAGTGAGTGAATCCAGCACTTGATAGGAAGTTGGAACGACTCTCTGTCTGTTAAATGAAATTTATGTGAAGCATCAAGATCATTACCTTTTGACTAGATTTTACAATATGAAGTTTGTAAATAAAAAGTATTCTGTGATTCTATCCTAAAGTCTTTCTATAACTTTTTGAGTGGTTTTTTATGATATGAACTTATTATTTAAAGAAAATTAGACACTTAGTTACATTTCCCTGTTTCAAAGCCTATTTATATTCCCCAAAAAACCACATTGAACGTATATATGTGCATAAGGTTATTCAGATGGTAAAATAACACAACGTTGGTACGATTTACTAGCAACATCTCGTTTTATGGGTTATGTAAACTAACATAGCAAATACACCCACATTTGCGTATGAGTTTTTAGAAGAAACAGATATTTTAATAGCCAATGGTCTTGTTTGATTGCATGAATTACGGTATGCTAAATGGAATAAAATTTGTGATTGGGTTTCAGGTATCAAACATCGCTAAGCTACAAACATATACTACGGTTCATCACAGGGGAGTTTCTTCTTTCCACAGTAGGAAGATCATAAAGTCGCTGCCATAAATAAACTGAATTAGGATATAATTTGAAAACACTCGTCTCACTGTGTTCGACAAGTACAGTCTCTATATCTAGTGGCCCACAGATAGAAATATTGTAAAGATAACATTAGGAACAGCAAAATATTAGGGGTAGTTAAGTGTGGGGATCCTGTTTTAAAAAATTATACCATAAACTATTAGGAGTGACTACAAAAAGAAACCAGAGCTACTCAACAAACCGAAGGACTAGTGCAGTTTTTGACTGAAAGGAAATTAGAAAATCTATAGGATCAGTGACTGAATAGCTATACATATAGAAGCAATGTGTTTGACTATTACGGCGACAAGTGTTTAATTCGTTTCTGCTCATTCTGATTATTTGTGGGAATGGTTGGTTTTAAAATCAGTGCGAATGTTATTTGTTTAAATGAACTTATAAGATATAAAGACTTTGTTGTCTTCTTAAATCCACTGGTATCGTATCCCCGTTTGTGATTCCGGTTATTAGTTTGGAAGATCTCACTCACTAACAATGACCTACAATTGAACTAAATTATCTGGTTTCAGTATATATGGTCCGAACACTGAAAACAGTGTAGGAATACAACGAATTTGTTTTTGTCAAAAAATGGCACACGTTTAGATCTTAAAACAGTAATTTTTATTGACAACCAGCTTGGGTATGAAGAGTTGTTTGTTTGCATGTATTTATATAGCCAGGTGCTCTTCACGGTAAGATCACTAGAAATAGAACACATGGTCGAGGTTACATTGAAATCTTTAGGATTGTAGGACGTTGTAGATAATAGATTCATCATGCCACTGTAGTCGTTCCTGAATTCTGTATAGACATGATCTTCAAGAGCTGACTTATATAATTACATGAGGGCCATTGAAGTATGTTCAAACGTCTAAGTGCAATAAAATATTATTAATAATCGATGTAGGGCTTTTCACTAACACATATGAAACTCCCTTTATGCATGTTCCATAGTTACCAGCACATAATGAATAAAAAAATCAATATAATTAGTCTACTAACCAAAATAGATTAAGCTGCTAACTTTGTCTTATAATCTATGTAACCCAAACGACTCTGATCTATATGTTCACATAAAACCCATATCTTACATCCACTGTTATATATCTATAGATTAAAAATGTATGTTGCTGAGCGATATAGTTTTTCGAGTGCAATTTTTTATATTGATGCTAAAATCGATTTAGTAGTTACATTACTCATCATATTTGTTTGTATTGCTTTTCCTAATATTCATAATCTAGAGGAATAATCGCTTTTAAATGATATACAGCGTCACTAATATATATAAAGAGAAAAGTTAATTTTCTGAAGTTTATTAATCAAGAAATGCAGAAATGGCAATATTTTGTACAAGCAGTTAACCAGGAGACAAAAGACTTTAATAAGCTAATTACTCATTTTAATCCATGATGGGAGTTTATGTGTATTTAATGTCAATGCACTATTCCATAGAGGATATTTTTGTAATAATCTATACAGTTTATGATTAGCCTTAGAGAAATACAATTCCATTAAGTTTGGCAATAAAATATTGCGATCTAATTGTTCATAGGTTCTTCCTTTACTTCGACCCAAGCAACCATTATTCCAATTAAATGCGTTTCTAGTAACCACACAAAAGAACCCTTTTTTACGATTGAAGCTAAATACAAATAGTAAGAAAAAAAGGTGTTGTTTTTTTAATTTAATTGAAGTCATGTCATAAATCTTTGAACATACAGAATAATTTAAAGTTAAATAGTATTAGATAGTTGCTTGAAATTGGTGATGGATAACAGTGAATTTAGAATACACGTTTAGCATATTTGAAACTCACCAACTACAGTGACTTAGATCTCTCAGTTGAACGTCTTATAGGAACCCATCCTCCACGTATTGACTTGCAATCGTTACCTATTATTCAGTGACTTTAAGTTGGTATTAGAGCTCTTATTAATTTTCTTACAACTGAATCAACCAACATCTTTTGACGATCCAGGTTGGTGTATAAATTATTTGGTAATTTCTTACCGTTATATTTTGAATAAGTTTAATATTAGCTGGAAATCAGCCTCAAAACGAATTTAAACGTCTCAATGCTGAGTATGAAGTCGACTGAAAATACGTTAGAATAGTCAGCTTCCTGATGACAAGTTATGGCTTCGGAGGTAAGACCAACTATGAAATAACAACAATAAATACATAAGTACGATTCCTTATAGTTCTCAGGAATATTAAGTTCAACCTAGATACTAAAAGTTGGAAAACTGGAGAAAAATTTACAGACATAGATAGGTACTACTGAGTGATCTTAAAATAAAGCATTAAATTGAAACTAAATCTCTTTCCTTGATATTTTCCCCCCAATTTCTAGATTAACTTAATTTTACAACACGTGAAATATTAATTGATTTAATTAATATTGTAAGTAGATGACTTATGATATCTTTTCGGTTATGAATTACTTAATATTGGAATGGTGGTAATTTTTTTGTAAGTTCGTGCAGAATTTTAGGTACAACTACTTAAAATATTGACTTATAATTCTTTTTTTTTTGACAGCAATAACAATTGTATCTTCCATATATCTACTGTGAGCAACCTCACTATGATTTAAGGAGAAGCTTACGATCGAATTCAACTCTTTTAAATAAGTAAGCATAAATGAATAGCAAAAAATAATCATAGGTTTTAAGGTGTACATATCAGTTCGGATATATACCGTTTCGCTGCTTGTTCCATGAGTAATTTGCGACGACCAGTATAATTTTCTGAAATACAGGTATATGTAAAGAAAAGGTATTCTCACTAAATACAAAAGCAATATTATCATTCAATATTAAGATCACAATGATAACTTGAGAAAATTACTGATTGTGCTACTATTCCGTTACATGTATTTTTGCATTTAGTTATAAAATGAGTGTGAAATAATGTGTACTCATGATTGGCCATTTAACTAAAACGAAACAGTCGTCCAAAACTCTAGTTCAATGGTTGTTATCAGTTAACGACAGGAGTCATTACGAAACTATAAAAGGTAAAATACGTAGAAATATATCTGTGAAATATGCCTTCATACTTACTGTAAGTATTGTGAATAATCTAACTGCCTACGAACTAATATAAATTGCTGCACAATCTTCATGACAGGCACCGGGTTTCGAGAAAATCTATCAGCGTCTAAAAGTAAGAGCTGAAAAGAAGTTTGTTAAAAAAAGAAAAGATCAAATATTTGGATAAATTATTGCAGAAACAACACATGATATACATAAAATTGGAACTAAAGAAAGTAGTATCCATAATTTTTTAAAGTTATATGATAATAGCTCAGATTAGTTGTAGATTCTGATAACAGAAATGTATTCATTTATTATGTTCTTTTAAAGTTAACATATTACTGTTGGTATATTTACCTGTTTCCTAATCTTCTAATTACATCCAATAACTTCCTCAGTACTCCTAAAGTGTGATTCGAGGAGAAACTCAGCCATTGTGATCGGTTCCTACCACTATGCTACCTAAACAGCCAGAGAAGCTACATTTTATCAAGTTATTGAAATACGATTGAATTAGTTAAAACTATTATTTGAACATATTCTGATACTTTTAAATACTTATGTAACATAAAATTTAACCAAATGCCCATTCATCATAGTCTGTTTAAATTTGTATTTCATTTACTATACAACCTTGGCTAGAGAAAATTGTTTGATTTAACTAATGCTTCACTGATCCACTTTCACATTACATCTTTCAGTAATGATATCTACAGAATAACAGTTGATAACGATAGAAATAAAATGAAGAATTGAAAAAATCAATCAGTCAACTAGTTAAATAAATTAGCGTGACAGTGACATAATGATGCACTGAATGGAATCCTCCAAATCTAAACGCTGATGGGGTGCAAAAATCGAGGTTTATATACTTGATGATACTTAGTATTGTTATATCTAGAGGTTAGATTCTTATTATACTGCGTACAACTTAAGCACTCTAACGCTAGAACCCTCAAAGTCGCAAATGAGAAGACAAGTGAAAGGAATGCTATGTCAAACAGTGTCAAATATGATATAAAACTATTAGGTATTTATAGTCTTTTAGTAAAAACGAAATCATCATTATAGTCATCCAATCCGAGTACAAGGGGTTCTGGAGTATCTTTCCTAAAGATGATTGGATGGAATATTTTCGGCTGTTTCTGAGCTTCATAGAGCTTCCCGGAGTTCACCCGTGAGCTGTTCTCTCACAAGGATAAAAAGAAGCAAAAGTAAACCTGGAAAAATTCACAGGTTATTTAAATCAGTAGGTTTTTACATATTCAAAATCTGTGGATTCAATTTTCTACAGAATCATAACTCATACACGATTTGATAAATATATGGTGCTATGAAGTACCAGGAAGCCTGTGTATCACTTTTTGTTATCAATTGAAAATTGTTTGTAATACACTTAGACTGTTCAGAATACGTATAAAACTCATCAGAAGATTACCTTATGATAAACGCTTTAAACGCAGACGGCGACACGTTTTTGTTGCAGTTTTA